TTCCTACCCAACCCACTCACCCCTAAACCCTGAACCCTGACTCATCCCCAGGTCGCCTGGTGGTCCACAAGCCGGACCTCCCGCCCTCCTACGGCGTCCAGGTCAGCAACCGCAACTGCGCGGCAAGATCCAAGATCCACAGATCTCGAATCTCGTAATCCACGCAAAACCCCAGCTGTGCTGCGCCTGCCGGCCCCTCTCATCCGGCTCACCCCACGGGCTGCCACGGAGCTCGTCGCGCACTCGCCGCAACTGCCTAGCGCATCCCCCTCCCCTCGTCACCCATTGTCCTCCTCCTCTCCGCACCCCCTCCCCCCGTGCCCGTTGGGCTTCCAGGAGGCGACCTGCGGCGCGGGCCCGCGCGGACTGAGCCCGCGCGCGAGCAGGCGGGCGAGCGCGGCGGCGCTCGCGCGGTACGGCGGGCCGGACTGCTTCGCCATCCCCGGTGGGTGTTTGTTTACAAGGATGGGGTGGGGGCGGGCGGAATGTGCCTTGTTTTCCAAGTCCGCTGTTTTTGTCGTGTGTGGCTTGGGGTACGGGGCAGCGAGGGTGTTGTTGAGAGGCCCTGGTTGCGTGCAAGGGGAGGGGGAGGGAGGAAGGGGTTTGTTGTTTTGCGGCCCAGGTGCTTGCAGCGTACTGGGCAGCTGGGGTGTTGGTGAGCAGTCGCGGGTGCGAGCTTTGGTGGGGGAGAGAGGAGGAGCTTTTGGCGCTGCACCGGGCGCGCACCGGGGTGACGAAAGGGAGGGGTTTGCGGGTTAAATGAAAGGGCGGGCGGAGGCGGAGGCGGGCGCGGGAAGGCTGAGGAGAGGGGGCCTCGGGCTCTGCCATTCGGGGTGCGCGCGCGGGCGAACCCGCACCCTGTCTGGCCCGGGGCGACGGCAAGGGGCGGAGCTGCGGGGCGCAGAGCTGCGGCAATACGGCCAGTCCATGATCACCATGGGTTGTTGGACTGGCTGGACTGGCTGCGGTCTGCCCTCGCTGGGTTGCTCTGACCAACCACGCAGCCGGCCCCTGAGTTGAGCGCTACTGCAACCAAAGGTTATCCATTAAGGCTCGCGTGTGCACCCGTGCACATGCACGTCATGCGGCACACGGGCGTGCGCTAACACACGCGCACACATGCACAAACACATTCATACACACACGCACACAAACCACACGCACACACCACACACACACCGCACACACACACACCTAATCTCTGCCTGATACACACATACACACACTCACAATCTTATCAGGCAACCATGACTGGATCGACGGCCTGGAGACTTTCATCAAGCAAATCCAGCACAAGGGCTGGCTGGGGGGCTGGCTCCTGCCACAGGTGCGTGGGCCCCAGAATTGTGAGGCCAGCTGAAGCTCGAATGGCACAACAGAGGCTTGCCTCACTGTCAGGGCGGCTGCATGCTGCTAGGTGGAAACCCAAGCACAGGGGGGGGGGTGTCGGTCGGCCGGCCAGCATGCCCAGAGGCCGAGCTGCGAGGCCGATGGCGGCCTCGTAGCTAGTGCGCCGAGCCGCGTGGGGGCGGGGCGCGCTCGCCGCGGCCCGGGGACCCAGCTGGCGGGGCAGGGGGGAGGGGACGTCCGAGGTCGCGCGGCGAGGCATGCCCTCCCAAGGCGGAAGAGCGGGGTGGGGCGCAGCACACGGACTCGGCCGTTAGACGCCGCGTGCGCAAGGGTGTCGCGCAGTATTGCGGGCAACTTTTCAACACTTGTTGCGACGCCCGGCCACGATCACCTTATCCTTTTACACATGATGTTGCCTCGTCGTCTTATTCACATGTCGTCACCCAATCCCACTCCTGCAGGAGAAGTCCTACTTCTCCCTTGCCCTGCCCCACGGCTGGTGGGTGTTTGGGCTCGACCTGGCACTGGTGGGCGACATCGACATGTGCCAGTACAGGTGGGACGGTTGACCAGGTTTGACCGGTGTTTGACCGGGCTTGACCATGGGTGTTCGGGGGTGGAAACGCTGCAGCGCGCACGGTATGTCATGTGTCTGTGCACGCGGCCGTGCCCCTTGTCGCGCCTCGTGGCAGCCGTTTCTGCAACAGCTGCCCCCCGCGAGCCATCTGCGTCTGATTGGCATGTTGCACACGCGCAGCATCCACCCCCGTAACGACATCCCAAATCGGCTTTGAAAATCCCGGCAGGTATTTTGCCAACGTGGTGGAGCGGCGGATGGCCCCGGACGACCAGGTCAGCACCCTCTCCCCGTGTGATCTGGCGCATGACGTGATGCGGGCCGCGCCGTGATCTGTGTGCCGACGCTATGATTTGGACCGTCCTTGATGCAGCCGCCGCTCGTCGCCGCCGCGCAAGTATTGCCCACCATCCCGTGGACCACCCACCCCCCGCAATCACACACACTCTCTCACGCACACACACACACACACACACACACACACACACACACACACACACACACACACACACACACACCATCACAACCACCCCGTGCCAGGTCATCATCATCACCCACGAGCCCACCTGGCTGCTGGAGTGGTTCTGGGCCGTCTCCTCATCATCAAACCTCAGGCAGCTCGTGAGGGGCCACCTCAGGCGCGTTTGAATATTATACGAACACATGCTTTCAAAGTTTCTGATTTCACAGGGTCGAATTCTAAATTCTGACATAGAGACTTTGTCGTTTTGTGTTTTGGCGAAATGCAAGGGGCGGGGTTTGGGTCACGGGTCTGCGGACGGGAGGGTGGGGGGTGAGGACAGGGGGCCGTGGAGGGCGCCGAATTTGGAGGTGGGGAGTCGCCTGATGTGTCTTCATATACAGAGGCGGCTTGTCTTCTGGACCTCAAGGGAGGTGTGGTATTGGGTGTTGGTCAGGAGGCCGGGGCGGTGCCGCTGGCTCCTCGCTTGGGGGCGCCCCGCGCGCGGTGGGGCGACTTTTGTGTGCACCTCGCGCGAGCACGCACCCTGGCGTCCCCTGCAATACTCGGAGCCAGCGCGCACCACAAAGCCCGCCCTTTTCATCGGCTGCCGTGCGCCGCGCCTCTGCCACGGCCGACACCCCTGGCCCCACCCCCGCCCCCGCATCCGCTCTCCCTACTGACATGCGCGACGCCTCGCCACCCGCCCGTGGCCGGCGCCTGCACCCCCGCACGCTCGTCTTCCGCAGGGGTCGCTGCCGCGTGCACCTGGCGGGTGACCTCCATTTTTACATGCGCCACAGCCTGCGCAGCGGCGGCGCCGGCGGCACGGGGTCTGGCGCGAGCGCCGGCGGCGCCGCCGCGACGCCTCCTGCTGCTGCCTCTGCTGCGGCGGCGGCAGACACGAAGGCGGCGGGAGGAGCGGCGGCCGGGGACGCGCGGCGCAGCAGCAGCAGTAGCAGCAGCGCGAGCAGCCGGAGGGCGGGCGCCGGCGGGCTGAGCCCGAGCGCGAGCGGCTGCCTGGGGGGCGGGGTGCAGGGGTTGGAGGCGGTTTGGGAGAGCCTGAGGCTCGAGGGGCAGCAGCAGGCGCAGCAGCAGCAGCCCAAGCAGCAGCAGCAGCAGCGGCACCGGCCACAGCAGGGTGTTGCTGCCAGTGGCCGCAGCGGCGACGACGGTGGCGCCGCAAGCGACAGCAGCAGCAGCATCGGGAGCGAGAGTGGCAGCGACGGCGACGGCGTTGACGCCGGCGGCGGCAACCCAAATGGCGACGCAGGTCCCGCCGGCCGCCGACGGTCACCGGTGCGGAAGCTACGAGACGTCCTCGCGCCCCTGCGGCCCGGCGTCACCGGCGGCGGCGTCACTGGTTACGCCGCGGCGGAGGCCGCGGCGGGTGACAGCAGCACGCAGCGGGAGCGGCTCGGGCTGCCGCGGCTGTCTGTGGATGGGGCGCCGCAGCAGCACTACAATCAGGGCCGCACCCTGCCTCAGGATCCGCGTTGGGACACCCGAGGGCAGCCCCGCCGCCGCCGGTGCGCCGCGTGCGGCGGCTGGGAGGGCACGGCGGGCGGGAGCGGCGGCAGCGGCGGCGCCGTCGACAGCAGCGGCGGCGAGGCGGCGCGCGCGCGGGCGCGAGCGGAGCCGCACCGGTGGGACCCGGAGCATCTGATCGTCAACGGCGCCGGCGGCGCGTTCCTGCACCCTACACACGTGTTCAGGTGCGCGGCGGGGGCTAAACCCTAGAGCCTGAGGGGATGAGGGTGGGACCTGCCGACCGTTTGCTTGCGCACGCCATGTTTCTGGAGCACCAACGTTTTGCTTGGATCTTACATACCATCCCCACCTCACTTCGACTCCCGCCCCTGCCACTCTTTTTTCCAGCTACGCGCGCTTCGCGTCGCTGCCCGACGAGGCGGCGGAGGCAACGGCGGCGATCTACGCGACCGCCGGGGAGGACGCCTGTGCCTGCACCTGCTCGTGGGTGCTCAACTGGGGATGCTCTTTGGGAATATTTTTGAGGGACCCACATGGGCATTGATTCCAATCCCGGTGCTCTCCCGTACTCGAAAAAGTGGTTCTGCGTCGGCGTCCTCCCAGGCTCGCCGCCGCACGTTCCTTCTCGATGCACGCGGTTTTGGAGCTTACAAACAGAGGTGTATTTTTGGGGGCGCTCTGCGGGGAAGATTACCCAGGGACGGCTAAGACCCGGTCGGATTCATTGATTTTGGGAGGCCTTGCGGGCGCGAGGGATAGGGCCCACACCTGCTGTTGGGTCTCAAGCCTCGCTGGCGCGGCGGGCCGTGGCTTGGTTTGTTCCTGTCTGCTAGCAGGCGGGGGGGCGGGCCCCCTGCGCCTGCTCCTGCTGGTGGGGCCCCAACTGGGGATGCACAGGGGAATTCACGTGAGGGATCCACTTGAGCATTGATTTTGCGAGGCCCTGCGAGCGCGCGGGGCGGGCCCCGTGCGCCTGCTCCTGCTGGTGGGCCGCCCCCGCCCATGGACAACGCGGGCGGCGGCTGGACCTTGCAACCTCACTAGTGGGGACCAAGGGGTGAACGGTTGACCCAAAAGTGCGCCAGTAGGTCAGCTAGGCATGCTTTGAGGTCAATTTGTGATCCGGTGCGTGCTCACTCGCTGGCACACCCACACACGCACGCAAACACACACTATTTTTCTCTCTCTTGCGCGCACACACACATATACTCGACACACACTTGCCCACATGATTTCTCCCGCTCGTCTCCATTGCTTTACCCCTCCCGCAGCCTCTTCGCGCCCGCCCAGCGCCACCGCGGCCCCCCCATCCCCCCAGCGGCCCTCGACGCCGACGGGGCCGGCGGCGCGTGGCACTACCCCTGCTCCCCCACGGGCGGCTCAAGCGCTGACCTGGACCCCTCCGCCCCCTACCGCAACCCGGCCGCCGAGCTCGCCGGCTTCCAGGAAGCTTCCGCCCCCAGCCCAGCAGCCGACGCCGCGGCACCGGCCGGCGCGGCGGCGGCGCCAGCGGCAGAGGCGGGGCGGGGGCGGCGGGCGGCGGAGACGGCAGGCAGCGGCGGCGGTGGAGGACGTGCGGGAGGCGGCGGAGGGGTGTACAAGTGTGCTGCCGTGTACCCGAGCGCGGAGAAGAGCCGGCAGCTGGGGCGCAAGAACCTGCACCTCTTCAGGTGGGGTGGCCGGGTGACCGCACCGGGTGGTCGGCGGGTGACGCGGGTGTCCCCCTTTGAAACCTCCGCCCTGCGGCTCGCTTTTACGTATTGCCATTGGCCACGCACGCGCCCGTCTCTGCTGGTCTGACCCCAGACCAGGCTCAAATGCCCCGCTGACTCTGATTCGATTCGGCACTCTCCGAGCTCAGCATCGACAGCGCCGCCCCTGGCCCCCTCTCACAAGTGTACGCGCGCCTGCTCGGTAACCCACCCGTCCCAACTTCCAAACCCACCCATCCCAACTTCTTATCCCACCCATCCCAACTTCTGACCTACCCAAAGGCTCAAGAACACGCGCTTTGACGTCATCGGGGGCGCCATCTACTACCTATCAGTGGTCTCCCTGCTGCCCCGCTGCGACGCCGGGCGCGCCATGCTGGTGGGTCAACAGATGCTTTCGAAATGCACATACGAAATCTGCCGCTTCCCTCCCCCTCCTCTGGAATAAGGCGCACCGGCCACTCGAGGCATTGGCCACGGCCCGCGCGCAATGAAGGGGCCGCATGTGTGCTGTGCTGTTGACGGCGCATATCACCGTCGGTCTTCGTGACAGCCGTCGCAACCATCCCCCCGCCCCCTCACGCTCACTGTCCCTCTCC